GTGTTTAAAGGTTTGGTTCTGTAATCAGGCTGCCTTGAGCAGAGTACTGTCAGATGAGTCTCCTTGTATGTAAAAGGGGGTTTATAATAGCACCTACCTCCTATGGTAAGGTTGTATTTTGATTAAATGAGTAAATGCATGTGCAATATTGGCCTAGAGTAAGAGATCAATAGATATTATTTAGAGACTTCTGGTTTCAGGACAAGAGGGAGAAAATGCACTTCTCCTATTCATCCTGTTAAGTACAACTTAAGAAGAAGGCTCCAAAAGGTAGGTAGAAGAAACCAAACCAGCTAGGAGCTTTGGGACATGAAGAATGGCATGGTGATGAGTTCCTGGGGTTTTCTCTCCACCTTCTATATCCTACAATGGAGTGCTGGAGAAGCCGGCAACCCAGAAACATTACTGGGTGCAGGGAAAAAAAAGCCCCAACAAAAACCTTCTCTCTCTGGACAAAAAAACAGAAGAAGGGCAGCCTAGCAAGACAGAAGATTTTTAGACAGTAACCACCCTAATCTAGCCAAACATCCCAGAAAAAACTGTGGTTCCAATCCCATCCTCACCAGTAAAAACCTGATGGAGAGCCTAGACTACTCCTCTTACTAGGCTGTAACAAGGTGCCCCAAACATCGCCGCCTCTCCTGGTGCTGTCTGAAAACGTTATTTGGGGAGTTAGAACATTAATTCTGGCTAAGGTAAGGAGGTAAGGTGGCTCTTACACCTCTCACTGTCAGTGGAGGTCACGTGGGGAGCAATAATGAGTACCCTCCCTCTCTCAGCCAGGAAGCTTAGTGGGCTGACAAGGACTTTAAAGCAGCCATCATAAAAATGCTTCAACTAGCAACTGTGAACATTCTTGAAGCAAAGTTTTTAAAAAGTCTCAATGAAGAAGTAGAGGGGCTGACCCAGTGGCATAGTGGTTAAGTTCGCACACTCTGCTTCATCTGCCTGGGGTTCACCAGTTCGGATCCTGGGTGCGGACATGGCACCACTTGGCAAAAAGCCATGCTGTGGTAGGCATCCCACATATAAAGTAGAGGAAGATGGGCATGGATGTTAGCTCAGGGCCAGTCTTCCCCAGCAAAAAGAGGAAGATTGGCAGTAGTTAGCTCAGGGCTAATCTTCCTCAAAAAAAATAAAAATAAAAATAAGGTATTAAAAACTACCCTGGCAACTCTACCTGGATTCTAAATTCAACGTTTCTTGAAAATGTACTAATATTTTCATTCATTCATTTACCAAATATTTAGTGAGTGCCTAATATATGAGAATGGCTATAGTAGATCTTAGGACTACAAGAAGGATATGACATAGTCTCTGTTCTTAGGTAGTCAGTCCTGGTGGTCTGGTGGTTAAGATGCATTGCTCTCTGCCAGCGCTCATTTCCCTATCAAAGAACCATGTCATCTCTTTGTCTGTTGTCATACTGTGGCGACTGTATGTTGCTGTGATGCTGAAAGCTACGCCATTGGTACTTCAAATATCAGCAGGGTCCCCCATGGTGGACAGGTTTCAGCAGACCTTCCAGACTAAGACACACTAGGAAGAAGGACCTGGGCACTCACTTCTGGGAAAATTAACCACGAAAACCCTGTGAATAGCAGCAGAGCCTTGTCTGATACACAGCTGGAAGGGGAGAGGATGACGCATAAAGGCTGGGCAGGGTTCCCCTCCACTGTACACAGGGGCGCTAGGAGTCAGAATTGAGTCTATGGCACTAACAGCAAACTGCTCTTAGATGAGAGTATAATAAAGGAAATGGAAGTAAGTAGACCAGTTGTTAATGCAATGGGATGAGTACTATGATAGAGACATGTGCGCAAGGCTTTGGAGCTGCTCGGGAGAGGGTGGTGATAAAGGTGAAGGACAGCCACGGAAACAGCTGCTGACTGGATTCAAGGAATTGCAAATTTTCTAACTCAATATAACTGAGGGTGGGAAGTTGGATGAGGGGAAATGAACCTGTGTAGGTGAATGAGTTTTGCATGTCATCTAAAGATAGATAGTTTCTATACTGAACTTTATGGAAAAGTATTACATGATTCTGAGCACCATTTGACACAATAATACTTACACTGAGGAAAGACATTCTAGTAGCATAGGAAGGTGACTTGAGAGGATGGGGTAAGGCTAGGGCAGGGACATTAATTAGATGCAGTAATTGTAACCCAGGTTATCAAGGAGAGAACCAAACAATTACAGAGACGGATGTGACATATAACTGATTGTAGAGGAGGGATAAAATCTAACTTTTGGGTTTCTAAACCTTGCGCTGGGTACAAGGTAGTTCCTTGAAATATGGAAAACAGGAGGAAGGCAAGTTTGCAGTTGGGATGGGGCTGTGGGTTAGATGTGGGCTGAAAATGATAATAGTTTTGGGCATACTGTTCTTTCCAAGTAGAGGTGTCCTGCAGACTATTGGCTGTAAGGGTAAGGAGCTCAGAAAGGAGATCAAGCCTGGAGCTAAAGATGGAGCTTGAAAGCATGGGAGTGTAGTGATCACCCAGGGAACGTATGTAGAGTGCGCAAAGGGATGGATATAGAGTTTTAGGGACCACTGTCGATTAAAGATTCGGCAAAGGAAGAAAATTTCTTGGAAGATGTTGGTTCACAAACTGGCCCTGGGTACACAGAAGGCCAGGAGAAACCGAAGAAAGAGGCAGATCAGTCCAGATTGATAGGTGGGAGATTTAATAAGAAAGGGAAATTACGTGTGAGCCTTGTCTTCAGCAGCCACAAGAGGAGTAGGTCTCCGCAACCACCCACTAGAATCTTAAAGGTTTATATAGAGGCCTTAACTGTGTTGAGGCACGTATTCAGTCCAGTTGGTCTCAGTGACGCCTTGCTCTCTGAAGGCTGCGTCCTTGAAAAGGCAGCTAGTATGGGAATAGTAGATGGGATGTACATTCCAAGGGCAGGGGAGTTTCTGATTGCCTGGGTCCAGCTCATGAGTCAGCCGGTGCTTATGTCCTCTCCATGATTTCCTCCAACAGACATTAAGAAGGAGCAAGCAAAGAGGTAGGAGAACAATAAGGTAAATGATAAAGTGAATTCTCCATGAGTTTTCGGAATTGAGAGGGCTCCCAATTTGGTGAAGTGTTGAGAGCATAATTAAATATTGAACACAAAGAGTGGTAGAGTAGAAGTTGTAGATAAAGGGAGAGAGAATAATGACATCATCAAGAAGTGTTCCAGCAAGTTGATCTTCCATGAGTCGGCTTTTCAGAGACAAAAGCAGAAACAAAAAATACAAATAAATATTTTGTGGGAAAATTCCATAAGACATCTAGAAATTCTTTAAAACATCTTTATTTCTGCCACAAAATGTTGAACAAACTTTACCTTTTTCTTGGCGTATTAATGTTAGTTAATTATGGTCCCAATGATGCTGCAAATCAATTGACTGCAACACTCTCTGAATTATGAGATATTTAGGATTATTTCCATGTATCTGGAGGTCGTAATGGGATTAGCTGATCTAGGATAGGCATGACTGGAAAATTGCTCCAAGACATATATCTGGCTGGGTTGGGCTCCCTACTTCTTTGGAGTTCCGCTCGCCCCTGCGAATATTTGTTCTGGGTACCAGGCTGAGGAGGAGGAATGCCTGGAGGCTCGTCTCCTGGAGAAGGTAGAGGTGCAGACGAGCAAGCCCTATCGTGCAAGTGCTTTCAAGCCTCTGCTTGCGTCACGTCAGCTGATTAGCCAAATCATGTGGCTGAGCCCCAAATCCAGGGGCGTATTCTGCCCTCATGGAGTTGGGGGCGAGGGGAAAAGACAAAATATGGTTGATGGAAGTAGAGGTTGGGGAAGAAACGATGTTTTTGAACAAACATCAAACCTATCATACTCGGCAATTCAGAATCATTAGATTAATGACTCCTTGTGCTGTGCTGTAGTCGTATTCAGTGTTATTGAAGTGTGTAGGCTTGTTTGATGCTGATTAAAGGATCACTCCTCTTGCTGCCTTCTGTACCTGCTATTTCTGAATGCTGCCTCTGTATCTATAGCTGTTCTTCGTTTCCCGCTTCGTTTCACACACAGCTCTTTGAGTGAAGACTTGAAGGTGATACTCAGCTATTTAAAAGGACTTTTTCTTGTGGCGTCAATATTTTTTCCTGTTATTTTATTTCATTATTTTCCTGTTATTATTTCCTGTTATATTATTTCCTGTAATTTTGCATTGTTATAATATTTGCTAGTCTGATGTTGGGATGAATGGACCATTACTGTACTGTATATTTGATTCCAGTCCCCTCATCCTAAAAAAAAAAAGTGTCAAAAGTGAAGCTTTTTCTTTCAGAAAAACCAGCTTTATTTCCTTAAAAATTATCTCCAGCTATCTGCATTATATTTTTATTTGCAAAGGAAAGCATTGATCAATTAGGAGATGAAGAGTTCTGAATTACAAAGGCTTTTTTAAAATTAAAATTGTATGTGTGTGTCCGTTCTTTATTCAAATTATGAAGCATCTCGTATATACAGAAAAGAGTTTATCTATTCTTTATAAATTGGAAGCATCACATTTAATTGAAACAAATATATATGTGTGGCTCTTTCAAGGAATAATTCATTTTCCAGTAAGTTGGTCTTTTCACAGCAGGTACCCAAACTTCAGCTCTATATCTGCCGTTTGCCCTCTCAGCCTAGTGCGTCTGTGCTGCACTTACATACAATTCATTTCATCCATATAAAGTAGATTATTTTGATGCTTTAGCCTCTAGTTTCATCCTAAGCAATAAAATCCACAAAGTTGTCGCCTTGAAGTGCAAGGTGTATTTTTTTCTAATGTACATAAAAATAAATACACATCTATTAAAATAAAAATGTCGCTCTGTACCATCTTAAATATCTAGTTTACGACCATTATTACCTGGCATAACACACATGGGGAAACACTGTTTTAAGGGTAGTTCTGCCAAACTAGAGATATAGGAAGCTAGTTAAGCAATAATATATTTTGAAAAGACATTCACTTTTACTTTCCAATTTTTTTTCAGGTTTGTGGAAGGAATGCTGAACATTTGTTACAATGCCATTGATCGTCACATTGAAAATGGTAAAGGAGATAAGATTGCTATCATCTATGACAGTCCTGTTACAAATACTAAGGCAATGATTACCTATACAGAAGCCCTGGAGCAGGTAATAGCAGAAACTTTCCACATGTGCTATTTGAAAATCATACAGAAATTACTTAAATAGCATACATTCTCATTGTATGCTCATTTAATTCACTTAATTGATTGACGTGTTACTGTGTTTTTCTTTTGGTGTGCATTGTAAATAGAAGCGTGTTAACTCAGGGCGGCCCCGTGGCTGAGTGGTTAAGTTCTCTCGGTCTGCTTTGGCGGCCCAGGGTTTCACCGGTTCAAATCCTGGGTGCGGACGTGGCACCGCTCATCCAGCCATGCTGAGGCGGCGTCCCACATGCCACAACTAGAAGGACCCAGAACTAAAAAATACACAACTTTGTACCACGGGGCTTTGGGAGAAAAAGGAAAAATAAAATCTTTAAAAAAAAAAGAAGTGTGTTAACTTATTTAAGGGGTTTTTACCCCTTAAATTTATATTTTACAGTACTGGAAGATACTCCTTTTACAGGGAGAGGTTAGCAAATCTCCAAGAATATGTTTAAATCCTCTTCTGGCCTTTGCTTTCCGTCCTCATTGCCATCACCTTAGCCTAGCCACTTTTCACCTCTTGTATTATCAAAGTACAGCCATTTAACGAGGTCACATGTCACCATGTCATTTAATGATGGGGGAACGTCCTGAGAATTGCATTGTTAGGCAATTTTGTCATTGTGCAAACATCATAGGGTGTACTTACACAAACCTAGATGGCATGGTCTGCTACACCCCTAGGCTATATGGTACTGGTCTTATGGGACCACCGTCGCAGGTACTGTCCGTCCTTGACTGAGACATCATTATGAGGCGCATGACTGTGGCCTCCTGACTTCCCTATTACCAGGCTCTGTTCAGATTTGATTGTCACCTAAAGTGGCAACAGTCTTTTCCTAAGAAACAACTACTTAATCTTTTCTTTAAAAATTAGAATTATTCAGAGAGTAAAATCTGGGCTCCTGTGATGAATAAGACCTTTTGGAGTCTGATCACAGCATCCCTCCAAGCTTCATTTCCTGACCTTCTTGGCCATGGACACACCTCCTTTTTACCCGGGATGTCCTGTCACGCCCTCAGACACTCCTGGCCCTTCACAGCTCTTTGCACATGCTTGTTCCTTTCCCTTATTTTCTCTTTTTTAGTTCTTTCCTCACTGTGAGGTTCTTAGGTGAATGATGATGTTGACAGATGAGTCAGGAGATTTTCTTCTTTTAACATTACAGTATAAATGAGGGTTCAGAAGTAATTATAAAAGTATTTGGGTATTGTGGGCAGTGGGAGAGTTATCCTAGCTCCGTGGAGCATTTATTTATATAAGATTTAAAGGGTGACAGTAGTGAGGGGCAGGGTTTCTCAACCTTGACACTGTTGACGTTTCAAGCCAGAGAATTCTGTGTTGTGGGCTGCTGTTATGTCCTTTGTAGAATATTTAGCAGCATTCCTGGCCTCTACCCGTTAGATGCCAGTAGCGCCCCTCCCCTAGTTGTGGGGACCGAAAATTTCTCCACACATTGCCAAATGTCCCCTGTTTGGCAAAATCGCTGCTAGTTGAGAACTACTGGGCGAGCAGAGTCTCTCACACTAGGGTTTGGAAATATTTGCTTTTAAATTAAAGCTGTTTGAATCCCATTCTCTTTTTTTTGTTTTTTGGTTTTTTTTTTTTAACCTATTTAGGGTTTCCTTTAGATTTTTAGAAACTTTGGTCAACTCTCCCTGACTCTCTGAAATTATATCTGTTTGCATCAGCAATATTCCTGTTTAGCTTTCTAAAAGATTTCAAGAAAGGCAGCTGAGATAAATCAGTGAACACGCCAATCCTAAATTCCTGCAAACAATCAAGGGAGAAGTCTTAAGCTAGTTGTGCCAAGACTGGGTGTCAGTCTGGTTGTAGCAACAAATCCCAGCTTCTGCTGATTTAAATGCAAGAGGAATTTATGAAAAGAGAGGACTGAAGAACCAGGCTCAGAGAAATGGTGCACCCCAAGAGAGAAGGGGCATCGATGAAGTCAAGGAGAACCAGCACATTGTCTGATAACTGGACCTGCTCACTTGCATCATTCTCCTTCTAGACTGACGGAGTAGGAGCATCTAGTTGACCAAATTTAGGTTAAATGCTTAACGTACCAGGCAGTAGGGAGGAAATATCTTGTCCTCTTTTGATTTTAAGGAAGGAATTGGGACCCTGGCTCCCTGTAGGACTCCTGCTAGGGAAATTTCAGTCTAATAAGAAAGGAGGTCAAATGCTGGACAGACCAAGACAGAAAAAACCAAAGAATGTCGCAAATATACTGTTGGGTATTGGGCTGTCAGTGGGAACTGGGTATTTTAAGAATGAATTGTACAGAGACAGAACTTACATCAGGGCTGAGGAGGGAAGACACTCTGTCACCAAATGACCTTGTCATTCATCTGAGGCCATGTTTTATTATAAGAACATAAATTTCCTAATAACCTGTTCTATTCTGTGTTTTATTTTAGGTTTGCATTTTCAGCTTTTAGATGAGTTTTAGTCTATGATTAAATACTTGTTCATATGTTTTGGGCAAATTGCCACAGTCTTATTTCACTAACATAAAGGCCAGATTAGGAAGCTTATTTATATATTGTAAAAATATTGTCTATATCAACAAACTGAATTTGATACATAAGCAAACATCAGAGTCAAAGAAAAAGCTTTAGAGGGATCTAAAATAAGAAGAGTTAAATAAGGATTGCTGCTATGCTCATTTTCTGTTGTTTTGTTTTTAGTTAATTATATTGTATATGATAAATATGCACCCATTTTGCTCAGAAGCTTTTCTGTGAACTCATCTTGAGCCTAGACTCTTAGAGCCTTTTGAGGTTTGTACTGGTTCATTGGTTTCAGTTTAGCTTGACATCAAAGTACTTAAAAGGGCTGTTTCTCTCACCTGCTGACAGCGTCTGATTCCCCAGGCTTCTCTTCTCTCAAGTACTAAAGGAAGTACTGTTAGGGAAGAGTGAGGCATTGTGCTCCACGTAGATTACCTGCTCCTGGTTCCCCGTGGCCTTTCTTTTATTAGGTAGAGAAGACAGAGAAAGAAAGATTGAATGGATAATGCCATTGAGGACAAACAAAAAGAAATGCCTTTGTTCTTGTTTTAATCTCCCCTGTCTTGTTTCTGCTGGGAGTTTCCGGCTAGGTAGAACTTGATTAAGTTAGTTAGCATTTCTTATTCAATTAGTGAACCAACAAATTTTGGGTTAAATCGTTTCAGTGACATGAAGGATCTGAAGATTTTATAGAATGATTCAGAAGTAGGGCTTTTGCAAAACGGTTATCTATTATGTGGATCTGATAGCTTAAATAACTCTTTAGTAAGATTTTTCTAGAGAGATTTGAGCCTGGTTTAAGATTCATCACTCAATCAACAATTATTTATTGTGTATGCCAAACCCTGTTAGGAACAAGAGCTACAAGGTGAATGGACCCATTCTCTATTTTTAAGGAGCTAATGAAACCATGTAAACACAGTAAAGGTTACAATAGAGGGTAGTGTTATATTCTGTGGGAACACATGGGAAGGCACCCAACTCGGCCATAGGGCATAGGAAGGCTCTCCGGAAGAGTCAGTGCCTAAAACTAGCCCAAATGACCAAAAGTGGGAAGGGCAAAGCAGTGGGGAGCAGGGTCCTGCAGAGGGAGGGAATGGTATGTGCGAGAATACGGAGGGAAGAGAGCACTAGTGCCTCTGCGTGGGCTCACATAAAGCACAGCACAAGTGGGTAGGGAGCTAGGGCTTCCGGAGCCAGACTCGGAGCACTCTGCTTGCCACACTAGGATTGTACTTTATCCTGAGGGCAGTGGAAAGAAAAGAACAAGAGCTGGTCCTCCCTGTGACCTGTGGTTCTGTGTGATCTGGCTCCTGTGGCCTAGTCCACGGACCACTGCACTGCTCTGCACACCCAGCCTTGCCTCCTGCGGGCCACCCTCCTGACTTGGCCCACTGCCCACCTGAGAGCTTTGTACTTGCCTACCCTCTGCTTGGAAGTTTTTCTTTCAGATATCTTCTGGTTCATGGCAGCTGGATGCTGTTTTCTCAGGGAGATCTTCCCTGGCCATATTAAGTACCAATGTTCCCATCCACACCACTTTCAAGTCCTCATTTCTTTCTTTTAATTCAGCCATTTATTGCTTAGGACCATTGTGTCTCTCTCTCTATATTTTAATCTGTCTTCTTTAGTGTTGTCGCCTCTTCTTGATTGGAAGTTCCGTGAGGGCAGGAATTTTTGTTTTGTTCACAGAACAGTGATTGGTACATAGTAAACACCTGTTGAATGATGAGGAATGAAATACTATTTGAAATTTCTAAGTGACTCTCGCTTTGTATCAGTAATAGAACTTTATCTTCTTTCCAAGTAAATTCTAACTTCTTACTATCTGTGAAGAATTTTAGCCTATTTATATTTGGCTTGGTAGTTCAGGAGACTTTCCTCCTTGAATTTCCCACACTTGCAGCTCAGAACATCTGCATTCCAGGAGACATATGTGGGTTTATTGTATCCCCTTCTTCTTAGCTCTTTTCAAGTTAGTAGTTATATCAAACCTCAGTGAAATAAAAGGGATGTATGTGAGAGTTTATGTTTGTATGTATATGTATATATTACATATAGTGTTGATCATTTTTAGAAACTCCTACATTGAATTTATTTTCTCCATCTCTGATTTTACTTTGAATTTACTTCTGTGTGTGGCTTTTTTTATGTTCAAATAATTGTGAACTTTTATGTATTTATTTGCTAAATAAGAATGTGACCACTAAAGGGCATGTGAGAAATTTTCATGAATATGTGTTTGCAGGGAAAAGTGATGAAACCCAGTGTGTGCTAAATTTTCCTGATTTAATTCAAACTGGAAGTGTCTATTATCTCTATCAAAGGTAATTTTTGAAATATGATTATGGCAGTGGTTGTCATTATGAAGGCTGAATAACTTAGAGGAGAAAATTACTCTGAAATCAAGGGCCATGTCCCGTGAGAAGTCCTCCTTCTAACCTC